AATGAATTGTGCGCTCAGCTGGTAGTCCGCAAGGGATGACAATTACTATAACGATGGGCTAATCATAATTACACCCTTACTACAGCACAATCTCATTTTGGAACACGCCAAGACATTAATATGTATCGTTCTAAATTTCGATGGCCAAATGTTTGATACAAAATGCGAGATCGGACAAAAATACTCCAGATTATCTCAAAAAATGATTTAGCAATAAAACATGACTGATGATCATGATCCTCCCTAAAATTGCAAGATCACAAATCAAGGAGAAGACATTGCAACAGCTTCAAAAGTAGATAACAAATGGAATGTGCACGAAAGAGTGACTTTGTAGAACTTGTTACCCCTAACTTGTTCCTAAATAATCTAAAAGTACTGATAGAGATACACAGATGGAAGGACTGGGCTGACCACGACTCGCAGTTGTGACCCGAGGGTGACCACCTAGGCGGGAATCACGTTTTCAATGAGTACTGCCTACTTCACCCTTGACCTCGACCGAAACCTAGACCTGATGTATGTACAATAGATCGAAACTAGCTAGCCTTGGGAAGGCGCTCCATTACCGTAACTCACCGGAGATATCGAGTGGAGGAGCAACGAAGCACTCAAACACATTCACTTTCAGTTACATCAAGTTACTTTTCATAGGCTCTAACTTTTCCTTCCAATGCCTTTGAATACCACGAAATGGAGCTAATTGATGTCAAACGTTGATATAGATCGGAAGAAATATTTTTAATTTTTTTCATTCAGCATAATATGGGAATCATCAAACAACGTAAGCGGAATGATTGTTAGAGTTCTCGGCCTTACAATCAGATCAACGATCGTCTTTGCCGGAAATGGAGACATAAGGGGTCAAAGACCTTCAAAAAAAGTGCTGGCATTACTCTTGTATCCTCCCTATAAATAGACAGTGAAAAATTATAGTCACTGGAAAAAAAGAAAGTCGATTTCTTCTGCAATGCTGAAGACATGATGAAGAGTACAGAGAAATCCTGACGGTCTGGCTAATTGCGGGATTGTGCAGCGCTGGCCGGCCTAATCGAGATGCGTCTCAATCAGTACACCAATGACTTCCGTGGCGAGTCGCAGCCCACCGGAAGCCATCATGTAGGGACTTCTGATTGCTGAAGAGTCCCGTCGACAAATTCAATCAAATTTAAAACCAACGAGAAGTGCGCCGTTGCCCAACTGGGCCAGGGAACAGCGAACATCCTGGAAGACCTGAGAAGGTCAAAAGCTAAAGACTTCCTGAGTAGGTTAAGAGAATTATTTCTTCATCTGCTTTGGAACTTAGAGAATGATCTCAAAAGATAAATCAGGAAAGTAAGGCCTTAACAGCTTTGACAGCTTCGTGTACACCATAGGCCAAAACAGCTAGAGTCAACGAATACGTTAGAATACGCCACGTCTTTTGCATCTGATCAGTATTGCAGAAGTGCTTATTAGCGCCTTCTGTTCCACCTTAACCAAAGCGTCTGGCCCTTGGGCCGGAGTTTTTGTAAGAAGTTCGGAAGAGGGGTCGTTCCGATTTTCGCGGCTGACTCTTCCCTGCTTGAGAGAGTTGATAGGGTCTTCTCAATGCAATGAAGGTAAAGAAGATTTCTTGCATGTGTTCGAAGATCCAAAAACAATGCTAGCCATTTACCCATTAAATTAGAATAATATCCCATCTTTGCACATAACAATTTATTATCACACTCGTCACTATTAGTATTGCTATCACAAATACAACAGCGATTATCATCACAATTATTAAGCAAAAAGCATTCTATCAACAGCACATGTAGCATATTGATATAAGTTATATTTACAGCTGACACTGGAGACACACGTCTCCATGGAAAATAACGAAATCTGGCCCATGAATAATACCAGGAAGAAAACGAACCAAAAAATCACAAATGGCTTACAGAAAAGCGAGACCTCTTTTCTCCTTTCTGATAATAGATGACAGTTAATTTTACAGCTCAGTCTTCGTCCCACTGAATCCCTCTCACCGCAGCTTTTCGCCTCTTTACAGGAACTTCAGAAACTGTCTTCTGAATTGGAGTTGTTGTATATTTGATCCATAATGTATATTCAAATAAGAAAATCAACAAACCTTGACCTTGGGCAGCTTCTGTTGGCTGTTGTCTGCGCTCAGTTTCTGAAAACGAACAATTTTGTCCAGAACCGCCTGCAAATAACTAATACTATAAGATAAAAACATCACCTCGATACACTTCAGCATCTCTTCCATAATATATGCTAGTCGGTGAAGGTCTGAATTTAATATGGTATTCCACAATACTCATGCAGATAAAATCAACGACTTGCAAAGCAGTAAACAATAAATCTGAGTTGTTTCTCAACAAACAGGTGTCAGCAGTAATTTCGATGGCCGGCACAGAGGCAATATAATGCTGTCGCACCTCTTGACTCGAACTAGCTGTTTACACGGATAAAGAGACTAATCTTGCATTAGGACAACCAACTATAATAAAACTGATGTTCTTCAAAATGACTCCTTTTAGCCGAGAAATTCCTTCTGAACATTCATTCGGACCAGAAGTAAAAAAGTGATTCCGGAATCTTAGTTTCAGAGCCATAATCAAGCATTAGCTTAAGCTCACCTCTATTAACTTTGAGGGCAAAAGTTCGCTTGGTGGTGAATGATACGATACATTTGGAGTTGGATGATATTGAAGAGATTGAAAAAAGCTTTTTGGCCATGCTCTCTCTGGAAATCTCCTATTGCATAACGGTACTTCATTACTATTTTGAAATCACACCTCCAAATAGATGGTAGTATCGTTTCACTGACGTTAACAAACTCCGCTCTTTGCTTCTCGCTTACGGCTAATTCATATATCTCATTGACACCATTGCACACACCTGAAGATTTAGCAATAAATTGAGTAAGCTATATCACTCAATCAACGACAACACTCATCAAAGTTAGTATTGAACAATTTCAAAGCTCTGATCAGTAAAGTCTGATCAGAGCTCTGAAATTGTTGAAATTGATGAAAAATCAGTACTCTTATAAGAGATTCTATCTATTAACTTAATAATATATTTAATAATATATTGCACTACTAGAAAAGAAAAGTTTAATATTGTACTACTAGAAAAGTTGTAGATTTGTTCGGTGTATTCAGCTACTTACCTATAGTTTTCGTATCCGGTAGCCAATATAAGAAATATGTTCTATCTTCGAAGGAAGTTTTATACATGGAAATCATAGTTTAAACGGAGCTGAAATTAAATCTATTATTAGCCCAACAATTACTATTTAACGCAGAGATAGCGAACAAGGATGCTTCACAGAGGGTAGATAGAAACGAAAAGAACAATATTTCATCTCGCTATATATGCTTCTGCTTCTCTTCACCAAAGATCACGACCTGCGAATAGGCCAGGCGTTTAAGATCAGATAAACTACACCATTACTACCTTACATTGATGACGTTTGAGGCTTCAACCAGATGAACGTTACCACTTCGGTACACAAGGATGTTCCCTTTCAAAAGGAAATAGTTAGAATATGTTGAGGGCACACGACTGAAACAACCCTGCTCCTAGTTTCAGTGGTAATAAGAAATGACGCATGCTTGGGAACAGAATCATCAAAAAATATGGTCTGGACGAAGCCTTCGAGAAGTCTTCAAAAGCATTAGGAACGAGAAAATCTGAATGGGGTTTTTTCGCAGGGGACATTGTCAACCCATCCGTTTTAAACATCCGATCAAAAGCCAGAGGGGCAGTTATACAGCAAGGCACAATCATTATTAGAGCCAATCAGAACTTGGAAAAAACCTCTGTTTGACCCTTACCTCTACAGTACTAAGGAAATCCACACCCTCTTGCGACTTCCGCCGGATGCCACTCAATTTCTGCTCTCCCTGAAAATGCGTGAGCATTCACAACTCGCAAGCACCGCAAAAGTAAGAAAACGAATTCTATAGATACTATTCACCCTGATTCAGTGTCTCCCCGGAAGCGATTTTGTTAACACATAGCTGGAACGAAAAAAGACTACACGTCAAATCTAATGATTGTCATTGAAAAATACGGGTAGTTCAACAATAGTCAAATAGCTATTTACTGCATGTACAGGTTTAAGCACATAATAGAAATTGTAGTTGAGCAAAATGCAACTGTAGAAAAATTTCGTTGAACTGCCAACGTATATTTATTCAACAATTAATATGTACTATCGCCACACCAATAAAACTTTCTATAAATTATTGTACAACATCATCTATAACTACTTCTCGACGCACACCGCAGAAGAATTACCCTATGAGATGGAAAACGGTATGGCACTATTTGCAAAAAACTCGTGGACGAAATTGGGCAATAATGAGCATTCTGTTAACCGAACAGCTGAAAAGTTGAAAAGCTGACTACAACACAACTACACGTTATTATTAATCGAATTCACAAACTCGTATGAGGCATCAAAGTAGGTGACAAGAAAATATAGAAAATAAGAAAATATCAAAAAAAAATCAGTTTTCGAAATGAGCGATCATTTGAGCAACGAGGTACTGACAGCTTTGGAAAAAAACACCAACATAAAAACACGAAAGTAACTACAACTAATAAATAATAACAAATGCTAAAACTATCAAATATGACGGTGCTATGTTATAAAAAAATATGAAAGGAACGCAATCACAAAAAACTTCCACTAGCACTGAGAGCCGTTCTACTTACACAAGGGAACAAGGGATGGAACTCTGATCTCGCCCCTTGAGAACAGTTGAAAATTTTGGAGATGGGTGAAAAGAAAAGGATTCGAAGGCTTTCTGGTAGAGGGCGTTACACGAAGACTAACGAGGACTTTTAAGTGATAAAAATTGGCTTACTTGCTACTAACTTCTTGCGAAAGCTGAACGGCTAAAATCGATATCAAAAAAATTCGATAAGAAAGAAAACCAACAGTGATTGAACGAAAACACCAAAGAACGGCTACTCTGTGTACTTCAAAACTGTTCGAAAATTCAACTAATATTTCCTGGAGGCAGCGATTCTGCAGATATTGTGTGAATGACATACCAATCGTGGAAATACATAAGAATAGCAAGAGGTTGTCCAACGATGAGCGATAACCACACGATTACGTTTCCTTAAAATATCCTTTCGTGGATCATATCATATCACTCTTATATGGCGAAAATTCATCGTATGGAAAATTCAAATTTAAGAACACAAAGTTGCTGCTCTTCAAGAGCACACCAGCTATCAGCAAAGATTCAAAAAAAAAACAAAGTTTTCAACGTTACAATCGAAAATTTCACATCTAACAAAACATATTTTTAAAGCACCTGCTCGGCCACCCTTAACAACGTAGTCAGTGATGAGTGACAAAGGAATCTGCGCCATCATGCCATAGTAAGCATATAATCGGAACATATGCAGAGGGACGGATACCTTTGCAAGAGAAATCAAAAGGTTACAAAAGAAGTTACTCTCTCATAGAACATACCAGATACTCGTGGAAGAAAGCAGATACGAAAAATACTACGATCATCGCACTGAACCTGCTGAAAATCATAGCATAAGTGAGTATTCACAGCGTTATCGAACGAAATATAGATTGCCAAAGCCTTTACTAGCTTATCGAAAATTTCAACTAACCTGTAATTATTTCGCACCATAGGGAAGTAAATGTGCCGAGCAGCCCAACGGTGAACGGGAATATTCCAAGTGCGCCAAAAGTACTGGATAGTCTCCGAATTCCAAAAATCTCTGGAACAAGGAAAAAAGATCGATACTGAAGAACGGCTGATGGAGTAATTAACTAAGAAGTCTCCCAGTCTTGTCTCACAACGAAGATGATTAGTGCATGTGATGTGACTTTTCTAGAAAATCATCAGGGATGTGACCGAGAAATGTCACTGTGGTTACGCAAATAAGCATCGTCTATGTTCACAAGTAAATCAGAATTTTCAGATGGTTCACTTTACCATCAATTATTTGTTGTTCATAGGGAACAACATAGATTCTTCGTTTGATATTAGTGTTCTATTTTTGAGTTAGTTTTGATCAAAAACAAATTGATGACGTAACGTTTAAAGGTATGCTGGGTAATGTACCTCGTCACATCAGAAACTCACCGGTAAAACTCTCTGTCAGCGAACCTCAAAACTTCCGCCATAAAGTTGAGCATAGCATGGAACAGGGTGTAGAAGCCAATCAACCAAATAATCACATTTGGTATTGCCAGTTTTAGGAGTCTTTCGAGGCTTCTGAACATGCATTTCCTTGACGAAGTTCTTCAAAGTGAGTGTGTTGAGGGTGATGAATAGAATGAACTCCAAATGACCTGCCAAATTCCATTTCATTGAGCGGACGCATACTGTTGTGCACCGTTGGCACAATCCACTGCTGGATCAGAGCTGCCACCAGAAAGGTAAGAAACACCATCTAAAGCCGAAATAAAATGCGATAAGGTCGAAAAATAATTAAAAGAAAAATGGAAGAAAAAAGTCACCTCAATGAACCGTTTAACGAGGAAGCTCTTTCGACGTCGAACGGAGCGTGGGAATCTGAGCTCATAGCAAAGGGTTGGAGCCAGTATGAAGTAGTATAGATTAGATAGATTCAATGAAGCCGGATAAAGAGAAGACATTTCTGGTGGTGATATCTATAAAAGAGGTGGTTACCCTGGGATGGAAGTGTAAATTCTGCGCTTACTTGGATATTAATACCTAAAGCGTTTTTAGAGAATCTACTAGATATTTTTTCCTTCAGAAAGCCTGACGGTTCTAAACTAGATACGCGGCAGATTTCACTTAAATTTTAATCAACTGTATTAGGTTAGAACAAACCTCGTGTCTAGTAACATCATCCTTCTTTGACTCGATAGCTCTTTCGAGACGAGCGCATCTGCACCAGTAATTCACATGAATGTATGATACCAGTTTAAGCGATTGAACTACAAAAACCGACAGAGCGCATACTGAACACAACGGATTGCCCTGCAAGTGCAGTATGGAACCCAACTTATGTTCAACGAAGGAAACCTCCACCATGTTTGCAAAAAAATAATAACTGGAACAGAAGGTGAAGGAGAAAGGCAACAAGAGCGATAATTTTGCAATATGTTAGAGGTTTCCGTCGGAGACAACTATAAGTATGCTTATAAAGAAGTCAGCATAGAAAACTATGAAACCACGTAATCAAGTCCCTAGAATCTCACCTTCAGAATCAGAGTAAATGCAGCAGGAATAGCTAAATGTGCCGATATGAGAACTGAATAAAAAACAGCAGCAAAATAGTTGCTTAGATAGCCTTTCTCTGCAAAATGCGAATCTCTGATACTGCTCAATAGGAACATTCACTCCTGTTGATGGCTGTATATCGTTTTTGTTTTCCCCATTGTGCTGTACTCTGCTCCCAATTGAAACAAAACAGCATATTGTATTATCAAGCCATATCTTGAAATAAAAACGTATGACTCATTTACGGCCGTACCCGTAAATGACCCCAAATAAGGCAATGTTAGTGTTATCTGCCTTTCCAAAGAACACGTACGATTGGTAGCAGTCGGAAGCTACATTAATAGTATAAAGTTTAGCAAATGATTCGACACGGCGTACTGGTTTAGCACAAAGCTAACACTTCCTGCGAAGGCAGTATATATAAGGCTTCCGCTTAAGATACGGCAGATTTAAAATTTCACCAAGAAAATCCAATATGACCATATGTTACCTATATAATATCTCTTCCTCAGCGCACAACAAGACAACGGAACAACCTTACTTAATTACTTCAGTACTCTACAGCTTTGAAGTGATAATTAGAAGGCGCTGATTGATATCGAGATATAGTAAAAAAAAAAAAAAGCCAAACGCTTCGATATTACATAGTTATGCAAAACACTCACCAAGTATCTTTTCGACTAGGAAGACAGTGATTACTGTGATGTTTGATAACAAGACCATAGTAAGGTTTGGCCAGTTCCATATGGATGCCTCCTCTAGCATGAATGACAGCCACTGTACCGGAGATATGAGTATACCATACTTAATAAGATTTTCTAGCGCTACGCGGCCGTTGGACACAATCTGAAACAGGGACTAGTATGAAGGTTAACAAATCTGTAAACAAAGATGATAGTTTTAAAGTGATTGTCAAAAAAACCCCCTTCCTACCCTTCATATTGAAAGTAATTCAAACTTTAACGAATGCAGAGTTATATTAGGCCCAACGAGTGTTTAAAGGGTTAATGCACTGGCAAAAATGATTAATATTTGTTTCAAAATTTTACATGAATAACAAGACCGATAGATCTAGAAGTCTGCAATGTCTGGCATACCAGCAGGAGCATGGCTAGATTGAAAAATCCTCTGTAGTTGGTCCACCCTGAACTGCTGCTAAACAACGAATCTTGAGGACGATGGACTATTTTCTCACACGGCCTAAAAAAGAAACATTATTTTCAACAACATCGGACGAACTGTAAGAAGAAGACCAAGCTAGACCAATCTAACATACCCTTTTGCCAAGTCATCTTTTTTCTTCTGAGCAAAGGACAACCGTCGAGGAGCATTCGTCCCGTTACATGCTGAGCTACCGCTGCTACTCGTCTTCGAAGTATTGGACAGATGACGTCGTCGTACATCTTCATCGGACTGACCCACCATGCCTTCAAATCAACCTATCTGGGAATGTCGATCAAAAGGTTCAAATCTAATATCGAATATTTTGCAGCACTGCCTGCAGTTGAACTAAACATCAGAGAGGCAACATCTAGTAGAAATGGAAGATGAGTAAAGACGTTCACGATTTCGGTCGACTTGTGAAATCGATGGAGAACATCAATTTGAAGAGGGTTCCAGTTCCCAAAGTGCACTAATCTCAGAAAAAAAAGAGGACAAGCAGCAATTCTATTCCCATGTTTCACTGAAGCTTGAAAGTCGTGTCCAACATTACATGAGGATTACAACAGGCCCACACAGTGTTCGATGACGACCAAATGGGCTGTAAGACTTCTTTCCGTTCTGTATGTTATGCTGTTCTATGCAAACAATGTTGAAGTTATTACCATAGTAATCCGGAGAAAATTACTATATTAACCCTGAACAGTCGGAATAAGGGTTGGAGTATTTTGCCCTCATAAATATGAANATGGCACATTAATTCACTTTTTTCAATCAAGAAAAGAGATGGGGAACAGGAGATGAGGGGAATATGTAAACTCGGTCATTGAAAACTCGAAGTTGAAGATGAACTGTCAGCAGAAGAACAGCAAAGAAAGACCAAAATTTCAAAACATATTACCCTTTCTCAGTTGTGAAGATCGACACATAACAGGTGATAAAGATGTGGAGTTACCCACAGGAAAGAAGGATAAGGAAAAGGTTGAGGAGAGATACAATATTTGTAGACCGTTATCACGGTTGAATGACGCTATACGGAGTGCGGAACGAAGGAAAAACTGCCACCCACTAAAACTAAGGAGTAAACGATTGATAACAACTAGCCATGAATGACCACAAGGCTCTTATCGACGCGCTAGGCATCTGAGTTAACGGTCGATGCAATACACCTTCCATCGACCTTCACTGTTTACTGCATCGACCAATGAACAAGTTTTATCCGTTCGCGAATCTCAGCGGCAGCTGATTTATTTGACCGAATAAAAAACCACCTTCATAACCAACAACTCTACTCGCCACTACTAAAGACTCAGCCAATGAGTAGGAAATCGATAGGTTGAAATAAAAAAGTATGTTTCAGACAATGCATAATGGTGAGTAAACCGCTTGAAAGCAACTATATCAGAACAGTTAAATCTGCAATCATATTTTTATTGCAATTTCACAATACTATATTACTAAACACATAACGAAGCCTTCTATAGGAAGCCTGAGCCACAGAGCTAGTGATCATCAACTTTGTCGGCACGTCGCAGGACCTGAAAAGCTCCGTGAGAAAGTTGACAATTTCAATATAATTAAGAGGGTATAAAAGGGTAAAAATGTGCGGTTGCATAAGCATCGATGGCACAAACCTTGTAATCCTTGAACCGATTTTCAATTTCTGGGCTTTCGTTCAGTCCTAGATTGCAGGGATCAGGAATTCTGAAGATGGGTCGATTACTCGTGAAAAAGGGGGAACCTGCTAAGAGAAGTGCTTTTCTTCCTCTCATCGTCTTTACAGTAATAAACATCTCAAATTAGTCATTGAGAGTCATACTTTCACGTCTTGTCTTCGACGCAGAGCCTTGAATTTGATAAAAGACACCGACCGTTGAAAACAGTTCTATATCGTATCTACTAATGTCCATAATCGTAGAGACTTTAGAATTGCAGAGAATGACGTGCTCTAGTGAAATGTTTGGGGAGCGAAACCGATTAATCAATACTGACCGAAATATACCGTTTGGAAATATCGTCCTTTCGGTCGATATTCCCAAACATCATCATTCGGTTGCCCACCACCATGTGAAAACCATTGCATTGAAGGTGAACGATGAGGGTTATGAAAGTGGCTTTCCATGCAGAAGAGCAGGAAGTGATGATGCGCATCATCTACCCAGCATAGTCATAGAGTCTGAGCGTTCACATCATCAGATTATTGGCGGGAAATGCTCGCATTGAACCACCTTCGATCTATTTTGGCTCCATGCGCTTGGTTATCTGATAACAAGCAAAACCACCAGCTAGGTAAAATTAATGACTAGTTGAACAAAAATTGAGCCCGAATTCCCTCATTGTACTAGTTAGCAACCTATTTCAACAAAGTTTGCACTCTCGTTAGAATATATTTCAATTGCCCGTTTCTAATGTAGAGATTCGAATTACTATACTTCACGTGCTCTGACCAAATATCAAAATTCTCACTGCGCGTGATGTAAAAGAGACCAAAAATCTTTCTCTTAGTGATAAGACAAATACATCAGATTGGACCAACCTGTTCTGGTAACGCAAATCGTAAAACTCCTGAGGGAAGTATTCGACGAAGTGTTGGCGGCTGAAGTGTTCTACTGGGGGAGCAGAAGCCCATTTTTGTTCAACCTAAAGTGATGAATCAGAACTTTTTGAATTAGAAAGATGATCAGAGACAAGAAAAAAGACCTTCTTCGCTTCCTCCAAACCGTCAGCAACTTTCATATCGTGCAGCTTTATACGCTCGTTGTTATACTCGATCCAGTGGTCAATTTCCTGACATGGGTAACATTGTTTTGGTTGAAAATAGCCCAGTCTTTCTTAGAAGTTGGTATTCAATCTACCATACATTATCCTTGACTTCTTTCTAACAACAAAGGATCGAAAATTACAAAACAAATTTGATCGCTTTATGCAACAAAATAGGATTTCAAAAAAAAAATCTTGAAACTGATACCAACTTGTAAGTACTGTTTCGGTATCTCTCCATAAGGAATCTTGATTGCATCGAACTGCTTCTGGAGTGAGTCCAAAATAGCCGCATGAGCCGGCATAGCCTTTTTCAAGGCATTGAAGTCAACCTTAATTCATCAGATACACCACGAAAACCGATACGCTCCACAACACTTTTCAGGCATATTCACTTTCCCACAACACATGACACAACACAACGATTTAACCTCTAAGATAACTCAACAAACTGACGCGGACCTGGAAGTAATCGAGAAAAATCAAGCGTGTTGTAGACAAAACTTCATTTATCTCGAAATTAGTCTTACTTGAGGTAGATCGGAAGGAAGCTGGCTTACTGCTGAGGAAAATGTGTGGCTAGCACCTTTCAGACGCGACAGTTCTGCGGCATGCTCCGGAACCAGTTTCTCCCCTGCAAACAAGACCAGTACTACATATGTGTAAGAAAATAGCAGAAATGTGTAGTAAAATAGACCTAGTTTGGCCCAGTTGACAGCCGTCGTTGCTACCCTTTTCATACCTCCTGACATCCCTAGAATGAATACTTACACATTCAAGCATAAATCTCTTAAAAAGAACGAATTCAGGCAATTTTTGCTACAAGTACAATCTGAAGTGCGGTAACAAACGTATTTTCCACGCATAGCACAGGACAAGAGTGAAAGAAGTAATGATAAACTTCTGACATTCTGCGAAGTACAGCCTACAGGTTTCAAAGCTGTTCCACATCGACCACACAAAATGAATAATCTTGTGAACAAAAATCCAGCGCAAATCTGCCCAATTGTTGAACGTGAAGTAGGGGGAGACATTTCACTGCGCTCTCAACTTTTATACTAAGGAGCACACGGCAGAGAAGGCCTGTGATGGCACAAAGAAATATTTTTGATCCTTCAAAGTGGATTTTTCCGTAAGCCCAGGCTGAAGCGTACCGCTATATGCAGCCAACGCACAAGAAATTAGTCTGGATGATTGGCACGTCTTGTGCATAGTAGACTAAGATTGTACTGTGATAATCACGCAGAGAACCTGTGTATCGCTTCCTGGAGACGCCTTAGGTAGGTACTTGGGGGCTGCTTTAAAACTGGAAACAGTTGAAGTGATTTATTGTGTTTACCACGAGTATACGTCATGTACGGAACCCTAGAAATGTGATGAATTCGAGTTTAGGCCTCTTCCAGCGATACTCTCTGACGAAGTTGATTCTGTTAACGGCAATACTTTTGAAGGATGTATCAGCATCCTCCGAAATTCACTATCATTTAGATGCGAAACCAAAACAGGATAACGTGAATAGCAGGATGTTGCAAAACCCAATGCTGCTGTTCACCACAACTCTACCATTGGATTTCAACCTTGTCGTTTCCACATGATATGTTGAAAAAATTCTGACACTATTCTCTTATTACACCCCCAAAAACTCGAAATTTTTATTTTCGATGAAACTTCGCCTATAGGGGTAATCCGATGCCCTGATAACGAATAT